TCAGTAACGTGGCCGCGATCACAGGCATGGTTGTACTGCTTATTCAGGTAAGACTAAGTTGTGATTAAAACATCTTCCCCGCTAACGTGTTCAAAAATCCTTATATTCACTTTGAACAAAAAGCGGACCACGATCGGGGTGGGTGGGTGATTTTACTCGTGTTTTATCACAACACTGACAACTATTCAGAGGTCACAATTATGCANTATGCACCATCCTCAGTTCACCTGGTCGAGGATACACTCGACAGAACCAGAATTTATTTTTGATCATCAGTGGTGCACATATATCGGTCCACCCGGGATTTGAACTCCGTTGGATATCCAACGCTGAGGAGCTTTTTGGGAATAATAGATCACTGATGTCAGTCAGAACCTTCCACTCATGTTCGCTCTCGTTCTTTCCCGTTCCAAGTCGTTCCAAGTCTGATAAAACCAAGGTTTGGGATTCTAGAAAAGGGATATGCTGAAACTCCTATGGGAAATGAGTAAAAGTCAGCTCAGGCTAGTACTTTAGCAGCAGCGGTAGAAATATAAAGTAGATCTGATACTAGCAGAGAAAGCGTGTGAGATCGTCGCGTCGAATTGTACTACTGCGGTTTCTTCCAGTTTATTAAAAGCACGATAATAGCAAAAGAAAAACCTGACTATGGAAGAAGGTTATCCCTGTAAGATCGATATTGCTAATGTTTGTTGGCGCGCGCTGAGCTTTGACGGTGCACTTGAACGTGACCGATTAGGAAGAAAGATTTCTTACCCTAGAAAAGTGAGATTAATCTCTAACTAGTTCCTGTAGTAACTAGATGTAATCAAAACTCGAGACACTGCACAGTTTCAAGGACAAATAGATCAAAATTAAACTGTGACTGCATTTTGAGTACATGACAGATTGATGGTCGTTGTGATGGATTGTTGGTTAGTTCATAAAGTTCTGTTGGGTACAAAAGAACAATTCCATTTCGCCTGTTCACCGAGCTTGGCAATTTGTTTGCAAACAAATTGCCAAACTCGGCGAACAGGCGAAATGGAATTCAGTTCACCCGAGCTACGAAAACCGATTTTCAATATTTTGTCAACACAAAAGAACAAAGTTAGTTCTGGGGTGACTATAGTGAACATGATCTGACTATGTCGAATCTCCATACGTCCGGTCCATCACTCTTTTTTCTCTTTACCGTACAAACTATTTTTNTTGATCAAACTGCGGCCACATCATATGGAGAAGGTGATCTGGGTTGGACGCCAGTGTTGTGGTTTGTACTAATAATCTCGAGGGTAATAGGATTCGGATGAAAAACGCTTTAAAACCCTCACCCAATAAGATCGAAAACACTGAATAAGCAATTCAGATCTGGGGCAAAAATTGTAATGCTGTAATTGCAGAGAGATAATTTCGTCTACATGTAGGAGGTGTGTATATCTGCAGTCACACGAGAGTAGATGAAGTGATATTCATTCCGGCAATCAATGAGATACGGAATTATCAAGTGAATATACATGCTAAGTCTATGGTCTGGTTAACCTTGACAATCACGTGCAGAAACACAATGGGTATTCCAGAAAATAA